CTAACAACACATTTCCATGCCTCTGACCAGAAACAGGTCATCTGACATCAAACCAGCGTGGGAAAGATGAGCAGATCCACTGTGAGTGCAGTTAACATCACGTAACAGAGCCTCACCATGATCACGCTGCAGGCTTTTAGGCTTATTAAACACAAACTAAGAGAAGCAGCAGGCTGGAGACCGCAGACTATCATTTCTATTTTGTGAGCGGCTGCGTTTTCTGAAATCTGCATCCATGACTAAAAGCTTGCTTTCTAAAACTGCTTACTAGCACTCTGGTGGACACAGCCAATAAAGCTGGTTCAAACTGTTGCATGCAAGTAACTAATTTTGCAGGATGTTGTTCAAAAGCATTTTAATCCAGGAAATGAGCAACCAGTCGTAACTCTAAATACTTCATCTTTTTTGTAGTTCCTGTGTAGTTTCAAAACACTCTCTCCACCAAAAACCAGTCATTTACGTCAGCCTGCGCCAAACTAAACAACTGCATAATCCTTACATTCAACATAGATGTACCTCCATATTCTTTAAAAATTGTATACGTATGATGATCACTCAGAAATACAATCAAACTTTATTTAAAAAGCAGACACTAGCTTTCTAAATTCCTTCTCTCCTGTAAACTGTGTTAACGTGAAATGCAAGGAGAATACTTCAGTAAGCTGACACCAGAATTCTGGCTATGTGACCACACTGCCCACCTGTAACACCAGGTAGTCAGCTTCATGTGCTTTTGCATCATGTGTCTTTTCATTCAGCTTCCCTAACTAGACCAACCCTACACCTCTGTCCCTTTGGGCTTCACATCCTCCTAACCAATACCCAAACCTAATCAACCATAAAAGTATCAGCAAACAGGAAAGAGCTCCCTGATGGAAGAGACAGAGACTGCGCCAAGGACGCACTCGGCAAATGAGCCAAACGAGCCTACCGCTGGCAGTGGCAGCATCGAGGACACAACCGAGGAAGGCAGCAACTCGCTGTCATCCAACATTACACTTTGTGATTGCTCACTGATACTCCTCCGAGAGACGTGATCTTACACGCCGTGTGCTGTAATCATAGCCTGCTTTCCTAATGCAATTCGCTAAAACATTTATCCAAGGAGGAGGAGGGGGAGCAGGAGGTCTCTGAACAACAGCTGTTCCACCTCTGTCCCTTAGCTCCACCACGCTGAGGGCGGGGAGGGGGTATTCTGGCAAAAGATGGGGCAGGCAGGAGGGGGGGAAAAAAGCGGGCTATGAAACTGAAGGAGTACTCACCCTAGATCCCTGATTTACTCACAGAGGGGTGAGAGAAGGACAGCAGCTCTAAAAATACCCCCATAAGGAGAGAGGGAGAAGGAGATGGAGGGCCGGAGGAAGGTTTGGGTACGAGTGGAGCGGCAGAGAAGGAATAAGAGAAGAAGTAAATGTTTGTTTTTGCTTCAGTCACTATAAAAAAAAAACAACTAAAAGAAAGCAACATCTTAAAAGACCGCATCCTAAAAATACACCTCCCTTGTGGCAAAACCTCAGAATTTTGAAAGGGGGCCCATTCTTCCCTTCTACCTCCCTTTGCCCCATCATCACTACTTCCTTCATTCTATCGACCAATCCCTCCCCCCCCCTCTCTTCTCTAATGAAAGAACATGTCATTGAAGGCCCCAAAAGCCAGAGGGGTTAAAATGAAGGAGAAATGATTGGCAAAGGAAGAGAGGGCAGAACAATGTCCTTTTTTTGCAGCTAATTTATGTCAGGACCAGTGGCCCAGATACAGAGGTCAGCCAATGGAGTCTACTATAGCAGCACCACAGGCTACAGGCCACAGCCTCATACATGTGTTCATCCTTTTGACAACAAATTTTACACGCATACGACACATATTTGGGATCTTAAACAGAGTTTTCCTCGAAAATAAAACTAATCCCAGGTGAGAAAAGGCTACATAACTACATTAATATGTTTTAGAAATAGAGTTTTCATCACTTTGCAAAAACTGACTGAAGAAGGTAGGACAGTAGCTCCATGAAATTGATGCTGCAAAAAGGTTTACCAATACCAATACCAACCCTGGTATTGGTACCAGATCAATACTTTGTTTCTCTCCTCTGAGTTCACTATTGTGTTACCAAACCTCAAACATGCACTATAAAGACTGTCTGAACCCTTTTGTGTTGACTGTCATGTCTATTTTATTCATAGCATTTTGCTATAATCATTTAGTTTATTCTCCTCACCGGTTGAGTCATTTCCATCACTTCTAAGTGTCCGACAAGATTTGGGAAACAAGGCCAAAGTTTACACAGTAATCATTCAGGTGTTCCTGATCTGGAGGTTTGAGATGACTGAAGTTGTGGTGCACGTGCTGTAACTGTCTTTAACCAGGAATCTGAATATTTATAACTTTCAAGCTGAAAGAAACAGTTGCTTAGAGTCGCTATTATCTGGGATATCACAAACGGTTACATGCAATGGCCTCTCTTTTTCTTTTTAGCTGCTTTTCTCTCCTGATTATTATTTTAAATGATGTCTGTCTGTGGATTTTACAGTGTTGCCGGGTAGAAAGAAGACACTCAAAGACATCATTTTTGATTCCAGGCATCTTTTCTTTCTTTTTTTTTTAAATTATCTTACATTACATGATTAATCAGTTACTCCCAAATAATCAACATGATGACGCTGTACATATAAAACCAGCTCACTCAACACTGTTAACTTTATGGAGCACTGCTTTAAAATGTGAAATGCTATTTATTTCTAACTATTTGTTTTACAAGCCTTCAACTGCTGCGACTTTGACATCCTCATCAGAAGAAGCTGCTGAATGCTGATACCCTCCTTCTTTATGCTGCTCTCTCTCTCTC